CACAGCCTGCAGCAGAAAGGCCCTAACCCTAACTCTGTCTCCCTACAAAGAATCACACAAAGTCCTAGCAATAAACCCTGCAAATAAGTCCCCACCATCCAAGCGTTAAGCCAAGACCCTTATACATTTCATTAGCAATTCCACAAGCTGGGAATGTGGGATGACATGGAGGGCCCCCTCCACTCTCCAGAGTGTAGACCACAGGACTATAACCAGGACCTCTCAGAGGAAAGGGACACCCTTCACTGTGACACCAATTCCTGCAGCTTTGGACCCAGGGTGGTATGAAAGCCAATCTCACAGAAGGACTTTCACACATCAGTGATATGGGAAAGGGTCTTATTTTAGTTAGGGTTTCCATTGCTTTGGAGAGACACCATGACCACAACAACTCTTATAAAGGAAAACATTTAACTGGGGTGGAAACTCAGTTTCAGAGGTTTACTCCATTATCGTGGTGAGACATGGCAGCATGCAAGCAGACATGGTGCTGGAGCTGAGAGTCCTCCATCTTAATCAGCAGGCAACAGGAAGTGAACTAAGACACTGGGCGTGACTTGAGCATATATGAGACTTCAAAACCCACCTCCACAGTGACACACTCCCTCCAATAAGGCCATCCCCACTCCAACAAAGCCACACCTCCTACAGTACCAGTCTGTTTGGAAGCCATTTTCATTCAAACCACCACAAGTTCCATTCACCAGTGTCCCTTCAACAGTCACCCCACACCAGTAAATGCCGCCAAAGCCCCCTCACCAACACCCCTACCCAATGTGCCCATACCACAGTCTCCTCGCAAATAACCCTTTACCAACATAACATCACACTTTTTTATTTATTATTATTATTATTTTTCTTTTTTGGTTTTTCAAGACAGGGTTTCTCTGTAGCATTGGAACCTGTCCTGGAACTCGCTCTTGTAGACCAGGCTGGCCTCGAACTCACAGAAATACACCTGTGTCTGCCTCCCAAGTGCTGGGATTAAAGGCGTGCACCACACCGCTAGGCAACATCACACTCTTACCAACATTCCATTGCAGTATCCCCTCACCTACATCTCCTTGCCAGTATTCTCCTGTCAACACTCCATGACAGTCATCAGCATCCCATCTCTGACCTACCAGACATGGCGACATCAATAACCTTCTACCAACACCCACACCCCTATATCCTCAACAACATCTGTTACACACAGCTCCAAACCAAAGTTCCCTCACCATTGTGCTCCTACCTCTCACAAGTGTCCTGTCAAAAGATTCCCTCACCATAGCACCCACAACATCCTCACCAAATCATACCTCCCAAATCCAGTGATGCCACTACCTCTAGCCACGAGCTATCTGCTTTCCCCATAGCCTCCCTGCCACTGTCTCCTCCTCTAGACATGAGCTATCTGCTTTCCCCATAGCCTCCCTGCCACTGTCTCCTCCTCTAGACACGAGCTATCTGCTTTCCCCGTACTAGCCTCCCTGCCACTGTCCCCTCCTCACATTTCCTCACATCAAGGTTCTCTTAGCTTCCTCTACCAATTTCCCATCACTGCCTTCCCCTTACAGTTACCCTCCTTCAACACCGTCTCTTCACTGCCTTCCCCATAGCATCTTCCAATTACCACATATATGTATGTGCATGTGTGTGTGTGTGTGTGTGTGTGTGTGTGTGTGTGTGTGTATGGAGGCTTTTTTGCAATAATAAAAAAAATACAAAGCTACCTCTGAAGGTCATAGCACATTCCTCAAACAAATGATAAGGAACAGAGCCATTTACCATGGCAACGCAAGGTTTCAAGGTTCCTGGTGTAAGACTGTGACCAGAGGCTGGGGGCACAATGCCAAGTAAGACAAGCTGCAAAGAGATCTGCAAAGAGACTCAGGTCTTTATCAGCCAGGCTTTAGCAAGCAAAGAATTGGCACCGTTTCTTAGGTTTCTTTGTGTTAACAACGTTGGTTAGGGCATCTGAGACTTTGTCCTTGTGTGTATCTGTAAAGTTTTTAACTTATCATCCATTTACAGAAACATTCAGCCTTGTTTGAACTTGCTCTGAGGTACATACGAGTTAATTGTGTAGTTTGTCTGACAGGGGAGAAATTGTTGTTTTCTATGTTAGTTTCAGTTAAAGGAACAAAGCAGGCTTGTAACAGTCTTACAGTCCTCGTGGGACAATAAATCTAGTTCTGAATATATCATAGTATATTTTCTATATATCAAAATTATACAGATTAATGCGAAATCATCTTCCTGACCATCCACGGATATATGTGCCCATAAGATTGTGATGTAATCATGAGATTACATCACATGAAATTACACATTATAGTGCAGGTATTGGGGAGAGATACCATGACCGTCTTTGCACATGTGGATTTACAGACAGAAGCAGTCAGTATTTATAGGCAATATTTTTCATAAGCCTTGCCTATGAATTTCCTCCATCAGATTAGTTGATCCCCGGTGGGTCAGCCTTAGGAATATCATCTGTCATATGTTGTAATTGCATCATGGCCCACAACAGCTCTTGACACCTATGCTCCCCCACCCCCAAAATACACACAGGAGCATTTTTGGATGTTCCCAGAATCCTGTTTCATACTGCACTAGGCTATACCATACTAGGCTTCTCTCCACTATGGTGGGAACATCCCATCTCCCACCCTGCTTTGGGTCCATGATAGCCATTGTTCTAGTTAGTTTTCTTTCCTATGCTGAATAACCAACAAAAAGCAATTTGGGAAGGGAAGAGTATGCTTGGCTTATATTTTGATGTCACAATCCATCATTGAGGGAGGTTGTAGCAGGAGTTCAAGCAGAGCAGAGACCATAGAGGAATACTGTTTACTGGCTCACTGCCTCTGGCTCATACCCAGCCAGCTTTCTTATACAACCCAGGACCACCTGCATAGTGGTCACGGGCTTCTCACATCAACCAACAATCAAGCAATTCCCCACAGACACGGCCACAGGCCAGTCAGATCTCAGCGTTCCTCAGCTAAGATTCCCTCTGACTCAGGTGACTCTTGGTTGTCAACAAACTAAGCAGGATGCCTCTTCATGAAAATGATAACACACCCAACTCCTCCACCTACGCACTACACATCCCCAGAACACACGTGCTGGAAGGCAGAATGTCAACCCAACCTTCTCTGCTGTCCTGCAGCCTCTCTGGGCTGCCACTCCATCTCTGGGTTACAGTGCTGGGGATATGGCTAGGGTTAGAGACCTAAGTCCAAATCTCCTCTTTGCCTGAGGAAGGGCTAAAGGAAGCTGTACCCTGGAGAAGTAAGTCTTCTGGACCACTATTGTGTGTCTCCTTGGTATGAAGCACAAAGCCTGAGCCGGGGGACTGGATGGGATCAGGTTCTCGGTCCTCAATGTCCTTGGATATCAGGGAAAGAATACAGAATCATCACCTGACTGCCCCTCCCCAAGACAGCCCCAACCCTGGGCAGGACATGCATTTGAGACTAGCAGCTCAGACAGTCATGAAAGATCCCATGGGAGAGAGCAATAGATCAGTGGCCTCTGTGCCCTGCCCCACTTGCAAGCACAGCCACTGCGTGCTTCTGCATTCTGACTGTGGAGCGCTTTCCCCACAGAGCTCTGAGCCGATGACCCTCACCACTGAAGTTCTATGGAATCCTGAGCCTCAGAAAGGAGTAATCCCCCTGCACCGATGCCACATCAGCTTTTTGGCGTAGCTCTTCCAAAGCTAGGGTCGTACAGCCTCCAGCCTGCTGGTGGTACATAGGAGTGAGTTCAGAGACTTACACACACACACACACACACACACACACACACACACCAGTCCCCTGGGACTCAGGTTGCCGTGGCGAAGGACAAATAGAATCATCCCTGAGAGATGCTTAAGCAAATGCTCTTTGGGGGCAGCAAGGGGCAAAACCCCCGAGTCAGCCTTGTTCTGTCTTGGACAGAAGCATAGACATTTGTTATTCACAAGCTGGCCAGGACCCCTCATCAGAACTGGGCTGGCCCTCCCAAGCACCTCGTTAGGTGCAGTCTAATTTGCAGAACTTCCTGCACTGAAGGATTCCACCACTTTGCCTGCAACACATGTGAAATGTCTGTTTGTGTTGCTTCCCCTGGTTGATGACTCTTCCCAGAAACAAGTGACTTAAATTTTCAGATAGCAAATCTGTCCTAAGAGGCATTTAGATTTTCTGCCTCACTTAAGAAGAATGTACCACAAGCTGTTTTCTTTTTTATGTCCTGTGTTGATAACTACAACCATACTTGGGAGAATTTTCTCATGGAGCGGCACATCTGAAAGTCATTGGGGTGAGGTTTTTTAATTAGTAATGGAGAATAGAGACAAGAAGCGAACCACGGAACATCTGAGGATGGAGGAGGGGGGAGCTCCCGTGATGGGGACATGGAAGCTAGGAGCAGACTGTCTAGTGAAGGGAGAGAATGTCCTCACAGCCCTCAGGAGTCAGACTTTCCCTAGTGTGAGGGCTTGGTGCACTAGTCTCTGTCCCTTGCTACACGGCTGTGCAGGCTGCTCTTATGTCAACTTGACACAAACTAGAGTCACCAGAGAGGAAAGAACCTCAACTGAAAAAATGCTTCCATAAGATCCGACTGCAGGACATTTTCTTAAATAGTGATTGATGGAGAAGGGTAAGCAGCTCCCCTCCATGGCCTCTGCATTGGCTCCTGTCTCCAGGTTCCTGCCCTGCTTAAGTTCCTGTCCTGACTTCCATTGATGATGAACAGTGGAAATGTCAGTCAAACAAACCCTCTCCTCCCCAGCTTGCTTTTTGGTCATGGTGTTTTGTCATAGCGATGGCGATCCTAACTAAGACAATGGCAATGCGTTCAGTGCTCAGAACATCCTAGGGCTGGGAGCATCCCCCATAAACACTCCATCTGGGAATCTGGAGCTGGGGCTTCGTTACTCACAAACAAAGGAGTCCCCTGGTCCTGCTCCCAATCCCAGTCTCAGCTCCGCCTTGCCCCCAAACCCATGCACACCAGGCAGGTTTGTGTTGAGAATTTACTAGAAGCCACAGGTAACAGAGGGTATCAGACTGAATGCCTGCAGTAGACCACCACCAATCAGGCCCTACTCCCTACCCCAAACCACCTCCGTTACATCTTCACCATCCTACACAGACAGCTGTGTGTAGAGCCCCAACCTGACACTGCTGACATCATGCCTGAATCTTCCCTCCAAGCAGGCTTGGGTCACTTAGGATAGGTAAAGACCACTGGAAGTTGGACCATTAATGGCGTGGGGGGAAAGGGAGACATCTCTTCATTCCTTCCGTGCTTCTAGGCTATCCAACACCAGTGCAGCCTGGGTCTTGGCTTCCTGCAGAAGGCTGGAGATTCGATGGCGCATCTGACAGACAGAGAGAGAGAGATCTCACCCTACCTGCTCCATGCTTGCTGTGGCCTGCTGCTCCTAACAGAAAAATCCCAGGCTCCTACCGCCACCTCCCCATGGCATACCCACCTCACAGTGACTAGGGTCATCTTGAACAGCCACTCCTAGATGTATCAGTGTGGGTAGAAGTTCTGGGGACAGCCATACCGACTGACCCTCCACAGACTCCCATCCCATTTCTTCTACTTCTGCCCAAACTGCTGACGGTACAGTTGTATCCCTAAGACCCAAAGGGGCAGGGCTCACTCACAGAGGTCATATTATCTAAAATTGGTCAGGGAGGGGCTAGGCCCCAAAGATGCCCAATTGCTAACATTCTATGTAAGAACTGAGCCCTTAAAAAAAAAAAGCCTTTTCAAAGTTGTCACAAATATCTAGGAGACAGATGCTTAACAACGGCTGTCAGAGCTAGGGTATGGAACAGTACGGCTACTAATTGACAGAAGGTTCCTTTGAAGCAATAGAAATGTCCTGAAGCTTGCTAGAACGATGGATATACACTACTGAGAATGTGCAAAAATTCTACTGAATTCTATATTTCAATATAGCAATTTGTACGTTGTGATTTTTGCCTCAATAATACAATAAAATTGCCACGCAGCTGTTATGAATGCTGAGATTTGGTTCTTTGCTGAAAGCCATTATTTTTCCAGTCCCTGGGGTGTTGGTGCTTGGGAGTCCCCAGCCTGGAATGGCCAAGCCTTCAGTTCTACTGTAAGAGCAGGGTAGGTGGTGTGGGCACTGGGGTACTATTTAGCAACTTTTCATCTCCCAGTCAGGCCTGGGAGGGGGAATGTCGTGTATGCCCGCAGACACCTGGTCACCCTGTACCCATGGCTCCAGGAGAGAGAGCAAGAGCCTGTTCCTTCAGGTGACCAGCAAGAGTCACCCCTGCCCACAGTAGACACTGCAGGTCCCTGAGTGGGGCCTGGCATCAAGTCTTCCCCCTGCCCACCTTCTCTTTAAATGCATCATCGGTCATGTCCTTCAAGTTGATGAGCACGTTGAAGTATGCGCCAAACACGCCTGTCTCCAGGGCTTTGGCTGCCACCTGAAGAGACACCAGTGAAAGGGGATGGCTCTGGACCACAATGCCTCTTGATAATATCAACCCTCCTGTCGAGACTGAGCAAGCTGACCCATCCTATAGGTTGGCAGGCAAGGGCTTCATGCAGGGACCTGCATTCTTAGTGGTTAGGACCACTAAGCCTAACCCTACCCACAGAGATCAGGCTACCGTGGCCATGTTGGTCTGAGACCAGAACCTAGAAAAGGAATCCACTACTAATTTGAAGATGCAGCTCCTGGAGGCCTGAGGAGGCTATGAAGGTATGTACTAGAGGCCGTCGATCCCTCTGAACCTGCCCTCAGCAGTTATCTGCCTGCAAACTAGAGCCACTCCTGGTAGAGAGGATCAGTTCGCTGGGGCCTCCAGGCCATGCACTGAAATACACTGCATAATGTAGGACTCCTGGGTTAGTTGTAGGGGCCACAGGGCATGCCCCTGCTTTGTCCCATCCCCCATACAGGATGAGTGATGTCCACAGGGCATGCCCCTGCTTTGTCCCATCCCCCATACAGGATGAGTGATGTCCGCAGGGCATGCCCCTGCTTCGTCCCATCCCCCATACAGGATGAGTGATGTCCGCAGGGCATGCCTCTGCTTTGTCCCATCCCCCATACAGGATGAGTGATGTCCACTTCTACAGGCTGGCTCAGGTATCTCCCCGTATATAGAGTAGTGTATCTGTAACTCGAGCCTCTGGAGACACCCAAGTTGCTGTTAACTGTGGAACAACATTGAACAAGAATGTGGATACCACCCTGAGCTGCTCTGACACCCTGGAACCCTCATACCTGCAGGTCAGACAAGCAGGCCAAGTTCCCATATAGGGCCAGCTCCTTCAGCACCGGCCACAGCTGGGACACAGTCTCTGCCAGCTTCAGTGGCACAGCAACCGCCTGTCTCAGCCCCTCCTGCAGGGCACAGGTCCGCCTAGAACCCAGGCGGCGAGACATGAGTTGGGGGCTGACTGCATTCTGACCCCAACCATCACAGTCCCTTCCCAAAGGCTGAGCATACAGACTCAGGAGTGACAAAATGATCATTACTCACTACCCATGGTGCACCTGGGCCAACCCACCCCGTCCCCAGACACTGAGACTCATGGTCCAGAGGGTCCAGCAGGCCCACCTGGCCAATACCGTGCTCACCTGTCCCTTTCTTCAGGTGTGTTCTTGGGCAACTTTATTGCCTCCTATAGGGAAAAAAGACCAAAGAACACATAATGAGTGACCACGAAGGGCTGGCTGCGTCCCCTGGCCATGCTGGGATGGCAGTGAGGACTGTGTCCTGGGATACGGCAGGCCTGGGCACTGCTTATCCATGGCCTCTAGCATGGGCATTGCCTACTGAAGCTCATCGTATGCTACAGGCCACAGACAAGGACACCTTCTGTGGGGATGATGTTTCTGTTGGTATCTGTGGTCTACAGCACTTGGCACCTGGGTCTGGGTGTCATAGGTCCCCAGAGCCACCTGGAGAAGACAGGTGAGTGGCGTTCTCTGGGGACCTTGCTTCTAGAAAAAGACACCAAGAGCCTTTAAAGGCTCCTGGATTCTTCCAGTCATCCTCCCTACAGTACCAGGATCTGATGGTGTGAACGACTTTACCGTGCGCAGTCTAAACACATGTCTGCTGTTACTTTCAATGTTACCAACTAGTATCCCTCCAGGATCCCCAACCCTGGGGCACCTATTCTGGGGTCCTGCCCTCCTAAATTCCCTTTCCTGGGGCAAGGTCCATGATCTCCAGACCCTCAAGGTTGCTGAAAGTGGGGGCTCCTAAAATACTGGCAGATCGTGCCACCTTCCCAGTATCCTGCCCCTGACTCCAAATTTGCAGGTTACTAAAGCTAGCAAGTCCAGGCCTGGCCATTGAGCATGCTTACCAGACAGGCAGCAAAAGCCTGGGCATCAGCATCCACCAATGGGATTAGCTGGGCGGAGGCCGCATGGAATGGTGGGATCAGGCGCCGCATGGTGGAGTCCAGGTGATCAAACTGGCGCCGCCCGTAGGTCATCTGGCCCACCATAGAGGCCAGGGCTGCACCCTGGTAAGGGGCAAGCTGTGGGTGCCACTAGGGAGGCCTGGCCACCCCAGGCCAGAGCCCAACAAGGGAACCCCAGGTGCAAAGAGATCAAGTGTAGAATCTCACCCTGCAGGGTTCCCCACCCCTGCGGCCTACCCTCCAGAATCCCCCACTATCAACCCCGCCCCCGGCCTGGGTCCTGCCATCTATGGCTCTGCCCTCAGTGGGTTACCTCAGGTGCTCACCATGGCTGCAACAGCCGCTGCTACAGAGCCGCCGCCTGGGGCAGCAGAGCGGGCGCCCACCTCCCGAACAAAATTGAGCAGCGACTTGTCCATGAGGCTCTGCTCTGGTCCACTAGCAGGAACCAGGTACCTACCAAAGGGAGTGGCTTAAAGCGGAGACACACCCTCTTACCCTCAGCCCCAAGCTGATAGGCTGGAGAGAAGAGAAGGAGGCGGGCCAGTCGGGGCAGGACCGAAGCATACTGAGAAGTTGGAGAATCAGGCACTAGGCTTAAGATTTGGCGATCAGAGATGTGAAGATGAGGAGGAAGTGGAAGGGGAGGGGGAAGAGGGGTAAAACAAGGAAAGAAGGGGCAGGAAGCGGGCAGAGTGGAAGAGTGGGGTAGGGATGCGAGGCCTCACTCAATGATCCTCTCCTTTGGATCGAAGGGTGACAGGGAATCCAGGCCCAGCCGGTTCACCACCTGTAGAGTGGGCATCGCCCCTTAGCCCACTGTTCAGTTTAGCGCCACCTTGACAAGTTTTTCCCACCCTCTCTTCCCAGGAACCTTGCCAGTTCTCTACCTGCCAGGTTGATATACACACAGGAACACTCCACACTCCCAGGGCAAACAAGACAAAGGGTTGCCCACCCTTCCCTCACAGCAGAGCCTAGGTGGCCATTGGGAAGGGCCAGCTAAGTCCTCTTCTTGGGATTAGATTCTAATTCAGAATCTAATCAATTCTTACAAACAGGGGCAACCTTGATTCCCCTGCACATAAATGTGAGGGAAACCGAGTTTCACCCAAACTCAGGATACAGTGAAAATTATCCCAGCCGGATTCGAATTCATCTCAGCAAAACCATTCGACCCCTTATGAAGCCACGCAACGGCACAACACATTTCACTTTCTGAAAGCAGAAAGGGACACACACACACACACACACACACTCGAAGGACACAAGCAGGGTGCACTCCAGAGGTGGTTCTGGAGGCGGGTAAAGGATGCCGCCTAAGAGTCGGGTCACAGAATCAGCAAGCAGTGAAGGATGGATACTCTAGGAAAGAATGGGAAAGCAAAGCAATATCACTGGAGATGCAGCCACCCCCAGAGCAGATCCTGGGCCCAACGAGTTGAGCAAATGTACTGTAGACAAGCAGAACTGCTTTCGGAGAGAGTCATGAGTAGATGGGGGCAGGGGAGGGACGCCTGGGACTTATGTACCCAAATCCATGGACTGTGGTTTACTGGGGTGTAAGGAACCCGACAAAGGGGCTGGCAGCAGACACAGCTCTTCAGAGAAGCAGCCAGCCCAGGAATTAAGAAGGCAGAGAACATAAAGTTTATGTAGTACAAGTTCCAGAGGAAGCCTTCATAAGGTTCTACAGGGCAATGAAAATGGAAAATCTTCTACCTACAAGTCAAGAGCTAGCCACAGAGCTTGCTCAGTAAAGTGCTTGCCCTGCAAGCACAAAACCTTGAGTCACACCCCCAGGACCCATATCAAAATCAATTAATTGGTTAATAATTAATTTTAAAAATCCTGGCATGGTGGTATGCCACTATTTGTAATTCTAATGCTGGGGAAGTAAAGACAGAAGGATTAGCCTACTTGGTGAGTCCCTGTGAGAGACCCTATTTAAAAAAAATAAAAAAGATGGATGGCCCCTTAGAAATACACACACACACACACACGCACACACACACACACACACGCATGCATGCACGCACATGCACACACACATATCAATAAAACAAAGAAACTGAAGGAAGAAGAGGGTTTTGGATTTGGAGTGGGCCCGTCTGGAAGCATGAGCTTGCTCCTGGAGAAGCTGAAGGCCTACAGCCCCCATGCCTCCCTTGACATCTCTCTCCCAAAACGAGCACAGCCCACCAGCCGTATCCGGTGTTCCTCCTCCAGAACAAACAACTTCTCCTTGTCACAGTAGAAGGCCGCGGCATCCAGCAAGGCCTTCAGAGGCACCAGGCCCACCAGCTGCGAGCCCACCACTGGGAGGTTCAGCTCCTGTGAGACAGAGGCGGTGAGGTCAGCGGCTGGGAGTTTCCCAGTGTGAGAAAGGTAGGGGAAGCTGCTCTACCCACCTGAGCCTCTCTGCAGGCCTCCTCATAGACTGTGTGCAGAGCTGTGACCTCAAAGTCCAGGAGGTTTGTGGACACCTGAGCCAGGTTCTTCTCATCCAGGTACCAACCGATGCCCTGAACCTTTTTCAGACGTCCTGGCTACAAAGAGATGCGTTCCCCAGCCTGGGCTAAGAATCTGGGCTCCAAATGGCCCCTTCCCAGCCTTCATCATGCCTAGCTCTGAGAGCCTCTTGTGCTTGTGTTCCCTAGCCAAATGAGTCAGGCGAGGTGGCCCCTGATAGCTGGGTCGGCACTGTGACCATCCTTGCTCTTTCTGTCATCCTTGTTCTGGCTAGAGAGATGAGGCAAAGCCTCACCCACCACATGAAAACTGAGACCAGGTTTGGTGCCGGTCTCTGACCATACCATGTCCGAGAGACCTAGGAACACTGATGTGGGAAGCCAGGGAAAGTCCCAACTCCCCTTGTCATCCATACCCCACCTGCTTGTCACTCTGACCCTCTCTTTGAGGATCGGGGAGAGGCAGACTCTGACTTCATCTTTGGAACAGGCATAATGGTCTCGAGGGTCCCTTGCTTCGTGTTGTACTTACAGGCTGTTTATTCTGCAGGCAGCTAGTCTCCTGCAGCCTCACTACCTGGTAAGATGTGAGGCTGGGACAGATGGGAAGATGACTTCCTGTCACTCTGTACATCTATGTCACCTGATATGGACTCTGAGAAGTGATGCTCAAGCTAGCTGACAACTTCTATGCAGACCTGGCAGGGGAGCCTTCCCACAACACCTGAAGCTTTACTGACGCATCATGGGGGGCCATATTTAGAGCAACTGGCAAGATGTGAAGACATCCAGGACGGCTAAGGCAGTTGTCAACACAGAGGCCTGACCCTGTCTGCTTCTGTGGAAAAGCCTGTTAAAATAAGGGCAGCTGGGGTTGCCGGAGAGAGATGGCTCAGTGGTGAAGAACACTTGCTGCTTTTCCAGAGGACCTGGGTTCCCGGCACCTACATGATGGCTTCTAATCATTAACTTCAGTCCCAAGGGACCAAGCACCCTCTTCTGGCACATATGTAGGCAAAACGCATACAAATTTTAAAAGGATCCTCAGTTTCAATCACTGAACTCTGATGCTGAGACCCCACAGGGCTGTGACACTAAGGGGAACAGTCTCCCCAGGGGGTTCCTAGGAAGATCTCTTAGGCATGGGACAGCAAGGCAGAGGCTACCCACCTGGTCTTTCCCGCGGCCCTGCTCCCGCAGGTTGAGAGCAATACGATGGGCCTGTTCCTTGGTGCTGAGCAGGTTGATGTTGAACGCAATGAGGAATTTCCGTGCACCTGTGACAGTGGCGCCCCAACTGGGGACAAAGGAGCTAGGGCCGAAGTCAGGCACCCATTCTGCCTGTTTGAGCTGCAGGAACATTCACATGGGCTGAGGTGGAGGGGCCCCAGGCCTGCCCACTCGCCCCAGGGGAAAAAACGGCAGGGAGGCCACCCTCTCACACCCGGCCACCTATTGGGGCAGCACCTTCTCAGGCAGGGCCTCATACTCTCCAGCCCGGATAGCCGGCAGGGTCTGGCGACTGGGTGTCTGCGCTGCCTCACCATAGAGGTACACTGCAAAGGAACCCAAGTGGGCAGGTGCTTAGCCGGGAAGAATCCAATATATCCCCAGTCCCACAGGGGGCCAGGCAGGGCGGCTCCTTCCAACTTCAACTGGGGGTAGGTCTTCCTTAGCTGACTCTCTCTGAGAACTCCCACCTTCTCCACACTCTTAGAGTGGGTACAGAGGTGCAGATGGCACAGCATAGACCTCCCACCCACCCAAAACAGTGCCACTGAAGAGGGCATGCTTATGGGAGTTAGGGTAGGATATGTGGGGAGTGCTGATGGATACACTCAGGTTTCTTTTTTAAAAATGTGTTTTTACTGTGTGGTGAACCTGTCTTCATAGGAGGAAAAAGCAGAACTTGCCACACACATGGGCCTTAACCTCAGATGTTAGCTTGTGTTTATGGCAACAAAACAGCCTGGTTGGGTCCCACTCTGTGCTGCCATCTGGACGGTCTATCCTGGGGTCCCCCAACCCTGTGCTGCCATATGGACGGTCTATCCTGGTGTCCCCTCACCCTGTGCTGCCATATGGACAGTCTATCCTGGTGTCTCCCCACCATATACTGCCATATGGATGGTCTATCCTGGGATCTCCCCACCCTGTGCTGCCATATGGATGGTCTATCCTGGTGTCTCCCCATAACATTATATTGTGTGTTTGTTTCTAGTTTGTCTCCTATCATTTTCTTGATCTAATTCCCCAAATTAAATCTTTATCCTCATTTTCATGTCTGTATGGTATGCATTTGTGCATGCAAGATGATGCATGATTATACATAATGAGGCCCAGGGTTGACAGCAGGAATCATCCTTGGTCATTCTTCTTCAACGTCATTCATTGAGGTGGGTCTCTCAATCACACCCAGAATTCCCTGGCGTGCTAATTAGCTTCTTCTGTCTCTGCCTTACACAGCTGGGATGACAGGTGGGTCATCACGCCCATTGCAAGTATGGAGGTTTCTGGAAATCTCATGCTTGAGTGGCAGGTGCTTAGACCAGTGAGCCATCTCTCCCGCCCCAAATTCTTTCTATTTACTAGGCATGGACTTTTTAGTCTCCAGGCTCAGCAAGCTAAACTGTGGTCAAACAATGTCTGTTATGGAGTAATCTTTTTGTACACTGTGAAGATGCATCTCTGCCAAGGTGCCTTCTGATTGGTTTAATAAAAAGTTGACTGGCCAATAACTAGACAGGAAGAGGTTAGGTGGAAGAGCCAAACTGAGAGGGTGCTGGAAAGAAGGGTAGCATGACAAGGAGTCGCCAGCAAGACGGAGACGAACATGCCACGCTGAAAAAGCGTACCGTCATGTGGTAGAGCATAGATAAGAAATGTGGGTTAAGTTGTAAAGGCTAGAGAGTAACAAGCCTAAGCTATCAGTCGAACATTTATAATACTAACAAGTCTGTGTGGTTATTTGGTTATGGGCTGCTGGGACAGAGATGACTGTTGGGACACAGAAAAGTCTTCCTACAAATATCTACAGCCCAACAAGCAGGATGGGGCACGCATCCACACTCTGCTGTGGTTGTGATTTCTGCTCGTGTTTGTTTCATGATCTAAGAAGCTGCGGCTGATGGCTTCTCACAGAACTTTCTTTCTTTCCCTCCCTCCCTTCCTTCCTTCCTTCCTTCCTTCCTTCCTTCCTTTCTTTTCTGGTAGTGATCTGCATTCTTTTGTTTTCATTTGTTTCTTTTTAATATTTATTCATTTATTGAAATAGGGTCTATATAGCCTAGGCTGACCTGAAACTCTCTATTGTAGAGCAAGCTGGCCTTGAACTCACAGAGATCTGCCTGCTTCCGCCTCACCTCCTGAGCACTGGAATTAATGGCGTGTACCTCCATGCTAGGTATGATTTGCATCCTTAAAAGGTGTCAAGGACGGAGAACCAGAGCACGCGTCAGAGACTGGAATCCAGAACCAGGTCCATCCTTCCTTCCAGAACCCTCACCTGGTACATTGAGCTCCTCTGCCAGCCGCTGGCCAAAGGCCTTAGCACAGAGCACACACTCGTCCATGCTGACGCCCCTCACCGGGATGAAGGGACAAACATCCAGAGCGCCCATGCGAGGGTGCTCTCCTGCAGGAAAGGGGGCAGGCCATCACCCTTACAGATATCCACACTGATCACAGAAAACCACCAGCTTCAGGCAGTTGGCAGCAGCAGTTCCTCCCATGCTGGACTATTAGGAATGCCACAGAACATGGGGACTATTGCTGCTATGGCTAGCATAGAAAGACCTTAAAGCCCTGGAGAAGGGGTAGGGCTTGCATGAGCTGGCCCTTTATAATAATTTTTAAAACATCCCACAAAACAAAGGCCTTCAGTGAGACCTTGCCAGGCTGAAAGTATCTGACCAGGAGCCAGTTCTACCTTCTCTGGCAGCAGAGAATCCACACCACATCCAGAATACTGTGCCTGGCTCCTCCTAACCTTGACAAGTCTGTTATCTCCTCCTTGCCATGACCTCCGAGAACGGACAGTGGCCTTGGCTTTTTGCCCAGCTCTGTCTGTGTGTCCACCAACCTTTGGCCCTGCCCACCCCTGCCGTTGTGTTTGGTTTTGAGGCAGTTGACAAGTTTGCTTCCTAGTACCGTGTCCTCTTCTGTCTCCCCGAGGCCTCAGTCTAGTCAAGACCTTGGCATGAGTGAGCCCCTGTATAGTATCATTGAATCACTGAACCCCACTGAACCCCACTCTAGGGGGTTGCTGATCTCCACAGCCTGCGTCCTAGGGCTGTCTCCCTGCCTTTCCCCCAATCCACCCCTGCAAATAGGGTACAGCAAGTCTGATCTTAGTCCTAGGGGAGCCTCCAAGGAGAAGCCCGCCCCCAGACGTGTGGCACTTATACCCGTGTCCATGCCCTGAGCCTGCCCCCTCCCAGGATACCGTGGCACAAGCTCAGCCTGGGAACTGAGACATGGGAGGCCTGGCCCAGCGCAAGTCCTCACCCTTGTGCTTGCTCATGTCGATGAGTTGTGAGGCCGCGCGGGCAGCGTTGAGAGCTCCCTCGACCACACGCTCTGGCTGCCCCACAAAAGTATAGACGGTGCGGTTGGTGGAGGGTCCAGCATCAACATCCAGGAGCACACAGCCTGGGGTCTGGGAGATGGCTCGGGAAATGGCATCAATCACCTGGAGACAGAGGCCCAACACCATGCCCCACACCCAAGTGTGATCTCAAGAAGGAGGTTTGAGGGATCCCCCAAAGCACTAAGCTTCAGTCCCAGAATCCACATGGCACAATAGGAAGGCTCCCATGGCAGTGACTATGGCCACCCCAGGTTCAGGGTGCCACGCCCTGACACTCAGAGGGGATGAACAGAGTGACAGCCTTCCAGTGGGAACAGCAGGGTAGGGACCGTTAGCTAATATGGGAAGGAACCCTGACGAACGCAGAACCTGCCAGGTCAGGAGTTGGGCTCAGAGCTCAAACCCTATCCTGAGGACCCCTCTGGCCTCAGTTTCCCCATCAGGTAAGAGGGCCAATAATAGTGCCTACTTCCCAAGGCTCCATGGGTGAGGAAAGAGTTAATACGTATGGGAATGACCTTTCCTGTGACCTCAAATAACTCGGTCCTCTGCATCTGTATTCAAGGGGCTTCACTTTCGGATAGAAACACTGAGGTCACAGGATCCATGACCCCCACAAGGAGTACTCCAAAATCCCCAGGCCCACTTGCCAGTTCTCCAGAGTTCCCCCAAATCCATGGAACATTCCAGGACTGATGGAGATGGCTCCTTGGAGGGGGCCAGTAGGCTGTGATTCTGCCCATTCTGGAAAGGCAACCTCCTCCCACACCAAACTCACTCCCTTCCTGTGAGCAAACCCCGAAGGAGCCTCACCTCCTGGTTGTTCCCCTCTGAGAAGTTGGGGACACATTCCACCAACTGGGACATGGTCAGCCCTGGGTCCAGTCGCTCTTCTCAAAAGGCAGTAGAGGTGTGTGGAGTGACGGCCTTTTGGTGGCCCTGGGCCTTTATACCTCCTCACAGCTAGTTTCTTATTAACCAGGGACCGTGCAAAGGGAGCTGGAGAGTGGAGGGTGCTCCCCAGTTAAGTACATGCTCTCCATGATGGGTTCTCCATAAAGCACACGATCATGGTCAGAGGGGCACATGCTGAGGACTCTCAGGGGCCTAGAGGGGCAGAGTTAAAGCTAGGGCATCAGGCCAACTTGGGTTCAAGGCCCAGCTTGATCCAGGGCTGCCTGTTGACCATCCAGATGACGCAGCTTTGCCCTCAGAACATGGCCTTTCCGAAGGAGGACCCACGGGACTTCTGGGTTTGTATCTTTTCATAGACGACCCGATCCTCAGTGATACAGGGGGAGAGGCCATGTGTGAGGCCTAGTGTAAAGCCTGCTCCTCCACAGAAGTCAGCTTAGCTCAGAGAGGCAGGAGAGAGTGTCGGGTGAGAGCAAGAATGTGTGGAACCATGGGGATTTATGTGTGTGTGTTTATATGTGCAGTCCATGGAGTAGGTATACATATGGGTGAATTGAGTGGCTATGGGTATGATTGTATATAGGAATATATGTGAATCTGTAGGGGCTGGTGTGACTGTGCACATGGGTGTTAGTGGGCCTGTGCAGGTAGTTATTAGAATACACGTACTGTAAGGATGATGGCATAGATCTGGATGTTGGTGTTTGCAAGTGGATGGATGTCGACCATGATACAGGAAAGATGGATATTGGTGTTGTATGTAGGCACTGATGTGAACAAACCTGTGGGGTGTATGTGTGTATCTCTGTGTGTGTGTGTGTGTGTGTATGTGTGTATGTATGTGTATATGTGTGTGTGTATGTGTGTATGTATGTGTATATGTGTGTATGTATGTGTATATGTGTGTGTATGT